AAAACCCACAAAGAAACAGTAAACTATACGATCGGCCAAATGGCTCTAACAGACATCTTCATGATTTGTCTTCCAGCAGGCTGCTGAGTGAGCGGCAGGGCTCACACTTCCTTCCCATCAGCAAGTGAATTATCCTCTAGGACAGGCTGACTGTAGGCTGGGCTATCATCCGAGTCTCAGCAAATTCAATAAAATGTAAATCATGGCATTTTTTTTTTTCCTCTGAGAGAGAAGAGCCAGCAAGAGGAGCTTTAGAAATTGTACAAATATGTGTCAACTAAGCAACATTCTCTTGAATGAATGAGCCCTTGAAAGATAAAAAAGGAAATTTAAAATGTCTTCAAAGAAATGAGAATGAAAACACAGCATATTGAAACCTCCGGGACCCAGTGAAACAAAGGAAAACAGAAAGCGGGACTCAGAGGAAGGAAGTCTGGAGGAGCGAGTGCCTGCATCAACAACGCAGCAAGAAGGATTGCAGGCACAGCCAAACCAGAACTTAGCAAAAGGAGAGAAACTGCAGAGAGAAGTACATGACGTCGTCATGACAAGACTCAAGAAACAAGACTGGGGTTGGGGAGACAGCTCAGGGGGTGAGGTCCTGAGTTAGTTCCTAGAACCTGTATACAAGAAACCCTGAGCTGTGGTCTGTGGGGAGGCAGACAGGTAGTTCCTGCAGCGGGGGTGGGAGGATCGGGTGGGAGTTGGGGGACTCTCTGGTCAGCCCAGCTAGTCTAGTCAGTGAGCTCCAGGTCAATGGAAGACCCTCCCCCCCCAAGTAAATGACTCGTAAGGAATATCCAAAGGTGACCTACCTCTACATGTCCAGGCACATGGGACACCACACACATGTGAACATGCACAGGAACATGTACTTAGAAAGACACACACAAAAAAGAAAGAAAGTAGCAATGAAATGGGCAGGTTGGAATGTAATGAGTTGGAAAATGTAATGATAATTTTCTTCCAAGACTAGTATTAGAAGAGGATGTTCTCCCCTCCTTTGTTTTTTGTTTTTTATTTATTTATTTTTTTTGAGACAGGGTTTCTCTGTGGGATGGTCTGACTTTGTAGACCAGACTGTCGTCACTGAGATCCACCTGCCTCTGCTTCCCAAGTGCTGGGATTAAAGGTGTGCTCCACCACTCCCAGCTTCATGCCCCTTTGTAGTTGGAATTATATACCACCAGAAAGAACACAAGTGGAAATCCAGTGTTGAAGCCATCCTACAGCCATTGTGCAGCCACTGGTGGTAATGGAACAATTCTATGTGGAAGGTTTGGTCCCATAGCAGAAGCAATTGCCACACTCTCAAACCTCCAGGGATTTCTTCCAAGGTGACTCTGGGGCAAAGTGACCTATCTGTGCTGGAAGAAAAGGAACGTTTTCAAGAGACCCCTGAGTCTCCTAAAGCCACCGGAAACATCTGCTTTTGGTTATAACATAGACTAAATTTCTTTTTTTCTTTTTAAAAGATTTATTTTCAGCTGGGCGGTGGTGGCATATGCCTTTAATCCCAGCACTTGGGAGGCAGAGGCAGGCAGATCTCTTTGAGTTCGAGGCCAGCCTGGTCTACAGAGCAAGTTCCAGGACAGGCTCCAAAGCTACACAGAGAAATCCTGTCTCCAAAAACAAAAACAAACCATAAGAACAACAACAAAAATCATGTGTGTGTGTGCACACACCACACACACACACACACACACACACACACACACACAGAGGAGAGTACACACAGTGGCCAGAGAAGGCTTTAGGAGGACTGGATCTGAAGTTACAGGTGGTTGTTAACCTCCAGATGGAGGACACTTAATGGTAAAGTATCATTTTTCTGAGCACACTAACTGTAATTTTAGTTCTTGAGAGGCAGAAACAGGAAGATTGAGAGCTTGAGGTCAAAACATTTCTTTTAGGGATTTAAATTTTGTGTATTTTTAAAAAAGATTTTTTTTTTTTTTTACTTATTATGTATACAACATTCCTTCTATGTATGCCTGCATGCCAGAAGAGGGCACCAAATCTCATTATAGATGGCTGTGAGCCACCATGTTGTTGCTGGGAATTGAATTTAGGACCTCTGAAGAGCAGTCAGTGTTCTTAACCTCTGAGCCATCTCTCCAGCTCCCCTTGTGTAGTCTTTGTTGTTGTCCCAAAAATACTTATTCTATTTTTTTTTTTTTTTTTTTGATTTTCGAGACAGGGTTTCTCCGTAGTTTTTCGGTTCCTGTCCTGGAACTAGCTCTTGTAGACCAGGCTGGCCTCGTGGCTCACGCCTTTAATTCCAGCACTCGGGAGGCTGAGGTGCTGGAATTAAAGGCGTGCGCCACCACTGCCCGGCCTACATATTCTATTTGAGACAGGGTTTTTCTGTGTATCTCTGGCTGGCCTGGGAATAGCTCTGTAGACCAGGCTGTACTTGAACTCACAGAGATCCGCCTGCCTCTGCCTCCTGAGTGCTGGGATTAAAGGTGTGTGCCACAACAGCATGGCATAGTCTTACTTTTTAAAGGGTAAACACCTTCATATCTTTGCCTTAACTCTAAATGTAACAGTCTATCACAATGTTAACAGATTAAAGTGTTCCTGGCTAATAAAATTTGAATTTTAAGGCAACACCGCCACCTGGCGGCGGTTGTTTTGTGTTTTCCTTAATCTCTCGAATGTGCGCGGGGACGCCGAACAAGGCGGTTATCTGAGATTGTGACACCACTTTCTAACGCTTCCTGCACCCTTTTACATTCTCTGCCGCACGTCTGAGGGTTCCAACGTCTCTATGCCCTGAACACTGGTTAGCTTCTCTCTTTTTCATTTGTAGCCATCTTAGTAGCTGCAAACTGATGCAGTCTCGTGGTATTTAGGTGCATTTCCTTATATTTAACGGGGCTGTTACTTTTCTCCATCGCCTGACTGGATACTTGTACTTTCTGAGATAGATGATTTATACATTTGATTGTCCACTCTATCGACTGTCCTTTCGATTTCTATTTATTTTAGACAGGGTCTCATGTAACTAGGCCAGCACCAAACTCACTGTGAAGTTAAGGATGGTCTTGAGCTTTTGGAAGCTGTGACCCCCCCCCCCCCATCCTGAATTTCTGGTAAACAACTTGTTTTCCTCTGCTCTGAGACAGCCTGCAGCTGCTCTGAGCACGAGACCCTAAGGAGTTCCTGATGACAGGGGAGTGGTTTCTGGTGCTTTTGGCTGGGGGCGTGGCTATCAGTTAAGGATCCCTGTATAAGCTGCCCCTGACCACAATAAAGGGGGCATTCTTGGGGCATTCTGGGATCAAGGATGACCTGTGTCTCTGTCTCTCTGTCTTTGTGTGTTTCAATCTCCAGCCCCTTGCCCGGTTCACAAACTGTATGGTAGCGCCTGGAGCGCAGACGGGCGTGGCGCGCTACATTGAGCTCCTGATCTACCTGTACACGTCCCTAGTGCTGGGATTACGGTCGGTCGCGTGCCAACGTGGCCAGCGGTCTTTCCATGCCTTGAGAGCATCTTTTGAGGCACAAATATTGTGAGTAGCTGAAAAAAGTGGCTCAGAGATTAAAGTAAACTCCCCCGGTCCTCTCAGGAACCCGGGTGGTAAATGCAGGGCCGATGTGGTACTTGCCTATAACTCTGGCCTGTTTCCTAGACAAACCGGCTAGTAAGACTAGCCATATTCTTAGACTGAGAGACACTGCTTCAAGGAGTAACGCCCCTGACGTCAATCTGTAGCCTCCACGTGGATACAGACACACGCGTCTGTGCACCACACACTTCTAACCCCATTCATGTGAGAGCTCGCATACACACACGTGAATATTGGGAAAGGGGGGGGAGCTAAACACACTCAGTAGGGAGAAAACCGGTTTTACTGAGGACGGGGCGAGGGGCAGCGAGTGGGCTGACAGCCCTGCGTCTAGTCTACCCTCTGCCTGAGGACTTTTAAACTCCGAAGGACCCCAGCGCCTGGCACTTCTTGCCTGTGCTTTTGTTGCTCTATTGAAAAATCCATTGCCAAATGCGAGGCTATGACCGTTGACCTCCGTGTCTTCGTCTGAGAGCTTTGCAGCTCTGGTGCTCGTGTTCAGGGCTTTGATCTATTGTGCACCGGTTTTTCCACGAAGGTTTGCTCCAGTTATATGCCTGTGGATATCTAGTTATCTTGGCACCTTGCAGAACAGGATGAGGTCTCCATACTTGATGAAAGCAATTGGCAGCAGTCGGGTGAGTCCCTCGGCTACCGAGTCCACAGCGTTGGTCTACAGGCTGACTCTTTTTACGAGAACATTAGCTTTTTGTTGTTTTGGTTGAGAAGGAAGTCTGAATTTCATCTTGCATTAGTGTTCTGTCATTGTGACGAGACACCCGGTGAAGACAACTTAGAAGAGTTTGGGGGTGCAGTCCATTCTGTCGGGGAAGGCAGCTGGTCCACTGCATGCAGAGCCAGGAAGAGAGAGATGAAGGGCGGAACTCAGACTGTCTTCTTTTCCTCCAGCCCTAGAGCCTAACCCAAGGAATCGGGCCACCTAATCAGTGTTAATCCTCCCTCCCCAGTCAAACTTTTCTGTAAACACCCTCGACTGTCCTTTCAGAGAGGTGTTTCCATGGCGATTCTAACTCAGCCAAGTTGACAATGAAGATCAACCACTGACCTGTTACCCCTCTTTTTTTTTTTTTTTTCGAGACAGGGTTTCACTGTGGCTTTGGAGGCTGTCCTGGAACTAGCTCTTGTAGACCAGGCTGGTCTCGAACTCACAGAGATCCGCCTGCCTCTGCCTCCCGAGTGCTGGGATTAAAGGCGTGCACCACCATCGCCCGGCCTGTTACCCCTCTTTATCATACCCCACATTGGTGTGTTACAGTCGATAGAATTAATGATCCAACACTGACCTATCTGTGAAGCCCATGGTTTACCTTAGTGTTAGTGTGTTATGCTGTACATTTTACGGTTTGTCTTGTTTAGGGACAGCATCTCACCACGCAGTTCTCCGACAGAGTCCTGCTCAGTTACCCAGTGTTAACCCCGAGTTCGCTATGGAGCCCAGGTGGACTTTGGTCTGGTAACTCTCTTCCTTCATTTTTCCAAGAAACTGGGATTATAGAGGTGTCAACATGGCTGTTTTTTTTTTTTTTAAATTAATTTTGGGGAAGCTGCAGCGCTGGCTTAGTGGTTAAGAGCACTGACTGCTCTTATAGAGGACCCATGTGGTGGCTCACAACTATCTCTAATTCCAGTTCCAGGGATCCAATGCAATCTTTGGGTTCCAGAGAGAAATGCATACATGGGATGTATTGACATACATGACTGACAGACATAAAATAATTTTTAAAAATTTTTTTATGGTTTAACTTTATGTGCATTGGTGTGAAGGTGTCAGATCCCCTGGAACTGGATCTTTAGACAGTTGTGAGCTGCCATGTGGGTGCTGGGAATTGTACCCGGGTCCTCAGGAAGAGCAGTCAGTGCTCTTAACCACTGAGCCATCTCTTCAGCCCGCCAGACATAAAATAATAATACACCATCATATACCACTGTATGGTGGCAGAGCATGCCTTTAATCTCAGCACTCAAGAAGCAGAGGCAGGAGGATCACTGTGAGTTTGAGGCCAGCCTGGTCTACCTAGTGAGTTCTGGGACAGCTAATAAGACTGAGTCTTCCTTGCCCACTCGCCACCTATATCATTGCTTTCCTTTTGTTTTGAGATAGGGTCTCACTACACAGCTTAGGCTGGCCTCAACCTCCTAAAGGCTAGGTAGAAGCACAGCCTCCCATGTCTGCCTTGTATGCTACATTAATCACTACTGTGGAAGGCTGTGGGTAGCTCTAAGTCATATTTTAACACTAGTCAAAATAGTTAGTGCAGTAGACTTAATCGTTTAATTATTGTTTAATTAAATCAATAATTTATTTAATTTCTGAGATAGGTTATCACTAGATAGTGTCACCTGCCTCAGCCTCCAGAGTGCTGGAACCAAAGGTGTATGTCACCACACCTGACTATCTTTATGTGTCTGTGTATGCCCATGTGTGGGGGTGTCTGTGGAGGACAATCAGAGCTCCAGGAGCTGTACACGCAGATGGTTGTAAGTCACCAGATACAGGTGCTGGGAATCAACCCCAGGTCCTCAGCAAGCACAGAATTAATTTTAAACCATGGAGCCATCTCTCCAACCTTGTTATTTATTTTATTAATTTAAAGATTTAATTTAGGGCTAGAGAGATGGCTCGTGGTTAAGAGCACTGGCTGTTCTTCCAAAGGATTCGAGGTTTGATTCTCAAAACCCACAAGGCAGCTGACATCCGCCTTTAACTCCAGTTCTAGGGAACCTGACACCCACTTCTGGCCTCTTCGGACAGTTGCAGACAGGAAGAGTACAGACATGCAGGCAGGCAAAACACCCATAAACATAAAATAATAAAAATTTTAAGATTTCATTTTAACATACCTATAAAAATTGGCACTAATAATTTAGAAATAAACTTTCCACAAATGCATCCTCCCCACCTAGTTTAGGTGTGGGTTTACAAGATACCAGTTTTTTGTTTGGCTGGCTGGTTTTTAGAAACAGGGTTTCTCTGTGTGGCACCGACTATCCTGGAACTAGCTCTGTAGACCAGTCTGGCCTCGAACTCACCGAGATCCATCTGCCTTTGCCTCAGGAGTGTTGGGATTAAAGGCGCGCACCACCACCGCCCTGATAGATACCAGTTTTATGACTGAAAAACTTCATAATTTTCTTTTTCCTTAAATTGGTTTCCTGAACTAGGCTTCGGATAATCTCTTGAGCATCTTTTCTACTGTTACAAAGTACAAAACAATTTCATTTCCAGGGTGGCTGAGTTAGGTATAACTTCCAAGACGAAACCGGATCCCAGAATCGATCTCATTCCAGGACTAAGGATTTCCTTCTCCAAATTTGGCTTCTGTGGCCCAGATAAACGATAAATTATTGGGGGTGACCCTTGCAAAGACCTCTTCTAGAAGGTCCCCTCTCGTCGCCTGTCTACAGACACTGGAGGTCTGGGCTAAGTCCAGATTCGGTGGCAGCTAAAAGGCGACGCAGATCAGCTTATGCAAAAGCATTTTTCAGACGTCCACCACTTTTCCCGAGGGACCTCGGGGCGAACGCCTTGGCTCGGGGACGGACAGGAGAGGACGACGCTCAGCACCCCCAGGTCAGTTCCCGGCGCGCCCCTCCATCGGCCATCCTGCCGGACCGCAGCGGGCGCCGCGCCGAACCTCGGACTGCCGAGGAAAGCCTACGTAGGGCTGATGCTCGGGACACGCCAGCAGTCCGGGGCAGAGACTGATTGTCATCGCCAGACCCGGGAAAGGGGCGGGGCGGAGAGGGGCGCCCGAGGCGCATGCGCAGAGCGTTGGTTTCCTGGGTGTCGTTTGTGGAGCCGTAGGAAGTCCCGCCCGGTGCCCGGCGTGCGCAGGCGCACTCAGCGAGCTCCATCTTGTTGGGAAGCCGGTTCCCGAGCGGGCTCGGGGCGGGGCGGGGCGGGGCGGGGCGGGGCGGGGGCGCGGCTAAATGCGGAGGGCGGGTTCGCCCGTCACTCACGGCTCGCCGCTGTCCCGCCGTGGTTAACAAGTCCTCCGAGCTGGGAAGGTCATGCTGCCCAACACCGGGTAAGGGGTCCGGGATGGGTGGGGAGCGGGTCGCGAGGTCGCCCGTGCTCGCCGCGCTCCCCGGCGAGGTCCGGTGAAGCTGCCGCGCGCTCCGGATCTCCGGTGCGCCGCGAGGATCGAGTCGCTGGGACCCGCGGAGACAGCGCGTGCACAGGAACCCAGAGTTGTGTAGGATGGGGCGCAGCGGGGTTAGCTACCCCACAGGGAGGGTCGCGAGGGTCGGTGTCCCCGACATCCCAGTGTGGCCCCAGCCTTGTCTTTAGCTTGGCCCGGTGACAGCATTGCTTTCGGCTTCTAGGTGAAAGGTCTCTTGGGACAGTAACTTTAAACTTTCTGTTTGTTCCCTATGCTCGATTGTAGAATAATAAAAGAATGGTGGTGTGTTTTGAAAGTGGTTTTCAAGTTAACAGCGAGTTAAAATTTTACCATACAAGTATCTTTGGCGGCAGTTTTTTCTTTTTAACGTAAGGTGAAGTGTATTTACCCTAGCATAGCCAGGCATAGTTGCACGGGATTTTAATCCCAACAGAAGGATCAAGGCTATCTTCGTCTACATAGTGAGTGCTATGTCAACAAAGGCTACAGAGTGAGACCCTGTCTACGCCTCATCCCCCCCCCCAAAAAAAAACCCCTCACACATATATTAACACGGTTGTGAAGCCAGTCGCCAGGACTTCTCAGTCTTGTGAAAATCAGAACAATGCCCATTAAGCAATGTTCTTTCAGTGTCTTTAGCACTACTTAGTCCTTGCCAAACTCAGGTGGTCTATTGTGTTCTATGAAGTTGGGGTATCTTAAGCCAGTGACAAGCCCGTTCTGTAACTAGCTTGACACATATAGACAGCTAAAAGACTTCAATATTCAACTTCTTTCTGATATGTTTGTAATCTTTACGTTTATAAACATATTTTGTATACCCTACAGGAGCACCTCTTATTTTTTAGAAAATAGTAGCAAACTCCATTTTAGGCTTGCTGTTTTTACCTGATGTGTCTTGGGGTGTACATAGGTTTCCAGTACATGCAACTCCTCCTTGTCTTCTTTAATGGTTGCATATTATTATTGAAGACCATCATTTATTTAACCTATTCCTTATTGTTGGATACTAAATCACTTCCAGTTGTTTTGTTATTTATTTATTTATTTATTTATTTAATTTTGTTTTTTCGAGACAAGGTTTCTCTGTAGCTTTGAAGCCTGTCTGAAACTCGTTCTGTAGACCAGGCTGGCCTCGAGCTCACAAAGATTCACCTGCCTCTACCGAGTGCTAGGATTAAAAGCATTTGCCACCACTATCTTTTATTGTTGTTGTTGTTTTTATTCATCTTTGCTTCCATTATTATTCTTTTGTTTTGTTTGAGTGTAGTCCTGGCTGTCTTTGAACTTGCTATGTAAAACTGGCTTTGAACTCATAGAAATCTGCCTGCTTTTGCCAAGTGTTGGTATTAAAGGCCTGTACACTATGCCTGACTTCATTTTCTTTCTTCTGTCTCTTTATACATAGGTGAATGTACCTAGGATAAATTCTTGAAATCAAAATTGCTGGATTGAAGAGAATATATATTTTAAAGTTTGATGTTGTAAGACAGATATTGGGAGGCAGAGGCAGACAGATCTGTGTGTATTTGAGGCCAGCCTGGTCTACAGCGTTCCAGGATAGCCAGGGTTGTTATACATACAGAGAAACCCTGTCTTGAAAAACAAAACAAAATAAAAGAAAGAAAGCAAAAAGCAAACAGACAGACAGTCATCATCAAGAGGATTGCGCAATCAAGGGCAATCAAAAATGAGAGTATAGTATCCAAACTTGCCAGTGTCAGTTTCTAAATAAATAACCAAGAAGAGCCAGGAATGTAAAAAACAAAAACAAACAAAAAGATGAGGTGAGCTGGTTTTTCTAGATCTTAAAATAGTTTATAAAACTAGTGTGATTAAAATAGTTCTAATACATGAGTAGACAGAGTAAGCAATAAGTAAGCAAAGCATTTGTTAATACAAATCCAATGGGCAGGGCTCTTCATTATAGTTAAAATTTGCTTGTATTTTTTCACTAGTGAAGATGAGACCCTGGCAATATCTGAGAAGACTGTGGGTGTCACAGTTGAAAGGAGATGCTCAGGGAGTGGAGCCCTGAGATGCATGCTGGCTCCTTACAAGCAATGCTCAGCCCCCGCTAACGGAACTGCGCAGTCCAAAGTGCCAGTGTGCAGAGACTGGGATGTATGGTGTAAAGCCATCTCTGTCTTCTTATTTACCTGCTTTAACCAGTGAGGTCCTTTTGTCAACTGTGTTATCACTCTGCTCTTTTAAGGCTGTTTTGCTTTTGTGACATGCCTGGAAGACCACACTACACCAAGATCCTTTATTTCAGGTGGCATTCTAGTACATCATGGTCTTACAGTGTCTTATTTACTCATTTGGTGGCGCTGGGGATTGAACTCAGGGATTCACATGCCTCAGCCAAGTTCTAAGCTAAACTCCCCAGCCTTTATTGCTATACTTTTAATAAATATTTTACAGCAAGCATATATACATGTGCACTATATTCATATTTTCTCATCCACCTAAGGTTTATTTTGGACTAGAAAGTAAGTTAGGAAGCTCACTTCATTTTGGCTCGGATGGCTTTCCTACTGTCACAGCCAAAGTGACTTGATGATTTCATTCTTTCTTTTCTTTTGGTATACTTATACCGCTATCACGCATGAAGGTTTTGTGTGCCTAGGAATCTGTTTCTGGACTCTATCCTCTATTACCTAGTCTGTCTATTCATGTGTTAGAATGAAGTGATTTTTTTTTTGTTGTTTTTTTTTGTTTCTCTGTGTGTGGCTCTGGTTGTCCTGGAACTAACTCTGTAGACCACGTTGGCCTTAAACTCGCAGAGATCTGCCTGCCTCCTGACTGCTGGGACTAAAGGTGTGCACCACCACTGCCCAGCAAGAGTCAAATATTTTTAATTACTTTAGTTTTATAAGCTATTATTTATTTATTTATTTATTTATTTATTTATTTATTTATTTATTTTTGGTTTTTCGAGACAGGGTTTCTCTGTAGCTTTGGTGCCGTTATAAGCTATTTTAAAATCTGGAAAAGCCAATTCTCATTTGGATTATGTTTTAGAATCTTCCTGGCTATTCTTGGGTATTTAGTTTAGAAACTTGAGAACTTGAGACTGGCTAGTGTATCTTTTTTTTTTTTTTTTTAAGAAGTCATTATTCTTTTTAAAAATGGTTATAATTTCATCACATTTACTGTAATTTTGAGAAACTCCTAGTAAATCAGAGTTTGGGTTGTCTCTGCATTTGCAGATTCTAGTTACCTCCCAGGGGCATTAAGAATGCCCTTACTATTGGCATCCTTATCCTAGTCTTTGCAGCTGAGGGCCTAGCAGACAGATCTGGCTGCCTCTGCTGCTCTGGCTGCCAGTGCCCTGGACTCCGGGTGAGCACCAGTGTGCCCTTTATTCTACTGGGATTCAGTCCAGCTGTGTTACAGGCAAAGGGATACGCCTGTAAATCAATAGTTGGCAGACATTTTTGTGTGGGTACTTATCCTTAAACATCTCTTTATTTGGATTTTTAACTTTATTTTCGTATGTGTGTAGCACGAGTATACAGTGCCCATATAGGCTACAAGAGGGTGTTAGGTTCTCTGGATCTGGCCTTAGATTGTGAGCTGCCGATGTGGGTGCTCAGTACTGAACTCTGGTCCTCTACAAGAGTTCCGAACTCTCTTCATCAGCCTCTGAGCTATCTCGCCAGCCTCTAAACATCCCTTTGGTAGTTTATGTATACTTTTTGTTTTGATACAGGGTCTCACTGTGTAGCCCTGGCTGTCCTGGCTCTCAATATGTAGACCAGGCTGGCCTTGAACTCACAACTTTTCTGCTGCAGTGTGCGCTACCACAGCTGTCTTCTTATGTGAGTGTGAGGAATGGAATTCAGGTCTTCAAACTCGTGGAAACTCTTTAATGACTGAGCCATCGTTCCAGGCCTCTACATGTCTAGCTCCTGTCCTGTCTTATTGACAGATCACATGGCATCTTTGTTCTCCCCTTTTGCATGTGTGAGAGCCTGGAAAACTTTTTATATTTTCTAACCCAGCTCCCAGGTCCTTGTCCTCCCTTGTCCCCATTTAGAGGAGTCAGGTCTCTGTTAGTATCTAGTAATTATTATCCAAAACCTCAGTGATTCCTTTCTGTCCCCTTCCCCTCTCCCCATTCCCCCTTCTCTCTTCTGTCTTTGAGGTAGAGTCTCTAACCCTGGTTAGCCTGGAATTTACTGTATATTCCAGGCTAGTCTTGAACTCTTGGTAATTCATTGCCTTAACATTCAAAGAGCTAGGATTCCAGGTGTGTATCATCATGCTCAGCTTGGAACTTCTGTGTCACGTGTCTAACATGATGGTTTATTTTTTCCCTTGTGGCACTAAGTATCAAACTCAGGGCCTCATACTTACTAAAGCATGTATGTGCTTTTGGTCTATTGGCCTATGCCCTCGACCTCAACTTTTTTTTTTTTTTTCGCTTTTCGAGTCAGGGTTTCTCTGTGTAATAACCCTCACTTTGTAGACCAGGCTGGCCTTGAACTCATAGAGATCCACCTGTCTCTGTCTTCTAAGTACTGGGATCAAAAGCCTATGTCTCTACTGCCCAGATTTTTTAAACATTGTTTTTTGTTTTGTTTTGCTTTTTAGACAGGGTTTCTTTGTGTAGCTGTCCTGGAACTTAATCTGCAGGGCAGGCTGGCCTTCAACTCACAGATGGACCTGCTTCTGCCTCAGAGTGCTGGGGTTAAAAGTATGTGCCACCATGCTGGGTTTATCATAGTTTTTTTGTCCGACAAAAGCTAGAAGGTCAAGCCAGAATCGAGGACTGGGAAGCATGCTTTTTCTCTCGGTGGAAGGAGTGTCCCAGAATTATTGCTTATCTTTGAGATTTTCTTTGATCCATCACAGGGCCATATAAGATCAGGTGGCTGATTTGTGAGGAAGGGGCATAACCAACACACTCCTCCCCCTTTTACAGGGGCCAACTCAGGATCCTGCGTACCCGAGGCCGTCATCCTCCCCTGATCTCAATTATTTGATTGGATTTAGAGTCATCAGGTGCCGTGCCTCTGGGTGTGTCTGCATGGGGTTTGAAAAGGGGTTAGCTGAAGATAGAAGAGCCACCCAGAGAATGAGGAGACGCACCATAGCATGGGATGGGGCTGGGCTAAGCAAGAAGGAGAAAGGAAGAATCAAACAAATGGGTAATGGCTTTCGTCTTTGCTTCCCGTCTGTAGTCACAGTGTGACCAGCTGCCTCACTGGTCATGCCTTCCCTGCCGTGGAGGCCCCTGAACTGGGAGCCTAAAGAAACTCTTCGTTGCTGTTTAAAAATATTTATTTTCTTTGATATGTGTCTGTTTCTGTGTGTCAGTGCATGCCTACAGAGGCCAGAAGGGGGAGTCGGATCCTTCGAGCCTGGAGTTAGAGGGATTCTTAAGCTGCCTGAAATGGGTGCAGGGATCCACATTCAGTCCTATTCAGTCCTCCGATGGGACAGTTAGCACTCGTAACTGCCGAGCCAACTCTCCAACTCTCCGCATTGCTTTTAAAAGGAATTTTTTCTGAAAGCTTTTTCAGCATCTAACGAGATGGCCACGTGGTTTTTATTTTTCAGTTTGTTTATATGGTGGATACATTAACAGATTTTCGTATGTTGAACCATTCCTGCTTCTCTGGGATGAAGCCAACTTGGTCCTGATGTGTTCTTGTATTCAATTTGCCAGTATTTTATTTAGTATTTTTCCATTAATGTTCATGAGTGAGATTGGTCTGTAATTCTCTTTCTTAGTAAGTCTTTCTGTGGTTTGGGTATCAGGGTAATTGTAGCCTCATAAAAAGAGTTTGGCAATGTTCTTTCTGTTTATATTGTGTGGAACAATTTGAGAAGTATTGGCCCCTCAACCAAAGAATGGATAATGAAAATGTGGTACATTTATACAATGGAGTATTACACAGCAGAAAAAAATAACGACATCTTGAAATTTGGAGGCAAATGGATGGAACTAGAAGACATCATATTGAGTGAGGTAACCCAGACCCAGAAAGACAATTATCACATGTACTCACTCATAAGTGGTTTATAAACATAAAACAAAGAAAACCAGCCTACAAATCACAATCCCAGAGAACCCAGACAACAATGAGGACCCTAAGAGTGACATACATGGATTTAATCTACATGGGAAGTAGAAAAAGATAAGATCTCCTGAGTAAATTGGGGGCATGGAGACCCTAGAACAGGGTTGAAGGGGAGGGGAGAGGCAGGGAGGGGAGCAGCGAAAAAATGTAGAGCTCAATAAAATCAATAAAGTAAAAATTCTTGGAAGAAAAGGAATTTTGTCACACTGAGACAAGAAACCAATTCATAAGGGAGCAGCTTCACTGGTGTGTGTGTGTGTGTGTGTGTGTGTGTGTGTGTGCTCTAGAGACACTCTAGCACAAGTGACTGGAAGATGAACTCGGCGACATTGATAGCACTATTGCTGACATTAGAATAGATAACTTACAGTATGTTCATGTGTGGATTCATGTATTGATGAAAAAAATAAGTATAGTTATTTAAGTCATATGGGTAGCTCTCTAAACAGAATTACATATTTTATGAATCTCTTATTTACAGTTCAAAATTAGGCAAAAACCCTAGATAGTACATTGTTCATTTTTTTGTAAAAGGTCAGCTGTTAATACTAGGTTTTGTGAACCAAAAGGCTACATTGGCGGTGGATACCCTTATATAGTAAGACATAAAAATCAATCTCCTTAATATTTTTACTGTTTTTTGTAGTGCAGTATCATGAGCAGTTTTGAGGGCTCTAGAGTGAACTAGCTTCCTAGGCTGCTATGACAAAGCCCACAAGCTGGGGTGTTTATCTGTAAAGTGTCATTCTTAGCTCTCACCCTCCCTCTACACACATAGGTAATGGTTTGGACTTAGCTTATGGGCCATAATTGCCTGACCCTGGGTTAGATACAGATGTATAGGTACTGTAAATTATTTTAAAAGAAGGAATAATAATATTTAAAGTAGTTTCTGCGTTGTGGGGTGGAAGAAAAAAGCAGGTAGAATTGGAAAATGTTTTACTTACTTTGCATTGCTATGACTAAAATGCCTCCCAGAAACAAGGAAGGGAAGCCTTATTTTGACTCATAATTTCAGAGGGTCTCAGTCCATCATGTTGTGTGTATGTGTGTGGGGTCAGGGTAGCAGGGAAATGTGGAGGCTCCACAGCACAGTGGACCAAGATGCAGAGAAAGGGGCATGAAGGGGGGCCAGATATAACCTTCAAGGGCCTGTCCCTAGTGACCTCGCTCCAGCCTGTCTCCTACAGAAGCACCCCCAACAAAAACAAGACTGTGGAGGATGTTTCTTTTTCTTTTCTTCTCTTCTCTCTCTCTCTCTCTCTCTCTCTCTCTCTCTCTCTCTC